AGGAAGAGGCGGTGGTACCCCACGCGGACGCGGTGGTCGTGGAGGAGGAGGTGGAAGAGGACGTGGAGGCGGTGGTTTTAAAGGTGGTAAAACTGTTGTGATAGAACCTCATCGCCATGAAGGAGTTTTCATAGCTAGAGGGAGAGAAGATGCATTAGTTACTTTAAATTTAGTACCAGGATCAGAAGTATACGGTGAAAAGAGGATTAGCGTTGAGGTATAACTATAATAATTTATGTAATTTACTTTATTAATATATTCATGAGTACTTGATTCAATGTATTAGAAAAGCTTATAATTTTTTCTTAGTAAAATGTAATAATCGTATTTTTTATTATTCAGAAATTAAAGATGTATGAATCACTGTTTGCTTTTTTATATGGAGATTGACTATGTGAATATTACAGGGGGAGAATAACACTGAAAAAATTGAATATAGAGTTTGGAATCCATTTAGATCAAAATTGGCTGCTGCTATACTTGGTGGTGTAGATCAAATTCACATTGCACCTGGAACCAAAGTATTATATTTAGGTGCTGCATCTGGAACTACAGTATCACATGTAGCAGATATTGTTGGTCCAGTAAGTTTATATATATTTTCAGTTAATGAAATGCATACATTAGAGCCAATTTAGTGCATTATTACTAATTTGGTGTCGAAGTTATGCTATAACAATTCTACATTCTCGTTTTTTCATTATGCAAAATTTGTCATATTTTGTTTTAAAAAGGCGAGTGTACAAAGATAAAACTTTTATTACAATTTTTTAATGTATATCTTTTTTCTTTAGGAAGGATTGGTGTATGCCGTAGAATTTTCACACAGGTCAGGTAGAGATCTTTTAAATGTCGCCAAGAAACGAACGAATATTATTCCAATAATAGAAGATGCAAGGCATCCTCATAAATATCGAATGCTTGTTGGAATGGTAGATACAATATTTGCCGATGTTGCACAGCCTGATCAAGCCAGAATAGTAGCCTTGAATGCTCAATACTTCCTCAAGAATGGAGGTCATTTTGTTATTTCCATTAAGGTAAGCCTATTAATAAATAATTTCAAAGGAAACAAGGCTTTAGTATAAGTTCATACTAACATTTTATTTTTATAGGCAAGTTGTATAGATTCTACAGCACAACCTGAAGCAGTATTTGCCGCCGAAGTGAAAAAACTTGTCGCCGATAAATTGAAACCACAAGAACAGATTACATTAGAACCATATGAAAGAGATCACGCCGTAGTAGTCGGTGTGTATAGGCCGCCACCTAAAAAAGCAACCTAAAATATGTATATGTATATATGTATCATCTAATTGTTAAGATCACCTCGATTGACCATCGTTCCGAAGAATGTATGCAATATCTTTTGATTGATTGACTGCAAGTAATGTTTTCAAATATTTCGTGAAGTCTACGAATGAGTAGACGGAAATAGGTTTTGTAATATAATGTAAAGTGAAACAGTTGTCATGCAGATATTCGGCGAATTTGTTTATAAATGCAATTTAAATCACTTTTGTATCTGTATAGTTGGTACAGCGAAAGGAATGTATATGTATGATTGTTTAATACAAAGTTTATATTTTAAATATCTCGAAAGACCATCTTACTTATACTTTCATATGAATAAAAAAAGACAGAAAAGATTTAATAAATCGTGGTGTGTTTAATTGCGTGTGTCACTTAGGCGTGATACCTTGCTAGTATTAAGTATCGTTTGCGTATTTTTGGAAGTTTTAAAACAAGTGACTGTCAACGTAATGTTCAACATCTGCAGTTTCATATAAACTTGTTAAAATGTTATTTCAAAATCACTTGTAAATTAATTAAGCGGTTCAACCGTTTTGTAACTACATTTCATTATGATCTTATTACGTTAATATCAAATCAAAATGTCGCGCTCACCGATTTCGTCCAGGAACGGTAAGCATCCTCTTCTGTCTTCTTTTCAACAGCTGCATTTACTATGACCAACCCACTAAAAATGGTTAATCGTTTCTTAACTGTAATTAATTATTCGCTTATAGTGATCGACAAGAGTCGAAAATCATCAAAATTGTTTAAATGTAAAAAGTCGTTCAGCGCAGCAGGACATAAATCCACATCGAACACAATAATTCAGGATCGTTTAATGGGAGGCGCGGACATATCGGAAGCTGTGGAGAACAGATCAGGCGTGGTGACGGAAAACATTAAAGAATCAGCTTCCACCCATGCCGTAGACCAAGAAAAAGATACTTCTAACTTGCAAAATGGAAGACCCGCAACTTCCGGTGGACCGTGTTGTTCTTGTATCGCGCAAGTGCCAGGAGCAATTGGGTACGAAATTCGTGTCCTTATTAAAACACAGTTTATTTATCAGGTTATTACATAAGTGTTGTTTTCAAGATTAATTTCTAGTGCAAAAGGGAATCCAAAAGATATCTTTCTATTGTTTGTAACAATTCTTTTTTCAACTCTTTCTATTAAAAAATGTACTTCTTTGTAGATTTTATGAATTTCTACATTGATTAATATCTCATAAAGAATATTAAAATTACTTTTTGTGTAATTAAAAGTTCAATAAAGAATGTATTAATTTCTGATACGAATTCCTGCCTGTGAAAATTAATCCAGGAACGTATAAATTCACATAAACGTCCAGAATCTATACGTTACTTAGGGAATAAGTTGACGTTTTACAGTAATATTCAAGAAGTCGTACAGAAGTAACTGTATTTAATTCTAGAGATCAGAAGGTGGATGAAATGATCGATTTCGTGCACCAGAACTTACAAGAAGCCGGTAAAGCATTGGCCACCTTAAGCGAGAACTTTGAACACGATTCAAAGGTTGAGCCCCGCACGCAAGTAGAACCATCATAAAATTGGGAAGACTTGGGGAAGTGTTTAGAGAGGGTACAACAATTAAAAACGCTTTATAAAATTATTCGCGCACTAACGAGGAGTAAGACATAAGCGAGTGAATTAATTTTTTGTATTATCGAATATTTGGAACGACTCACTTATTTTTTTTCCAAAAAAAAAGATATCATTACGTGAAACGCAGACACATCGAAAGACAATGATAACTCTTAAAGGAGACGTTGACGAAGGAAATTCTAATTTGTCGTTGTTTGCCCCTGGCAATTCTTTTTGTTCTCGGGATCGGCGTTGCTCCCGTTAAAGCTGATGTTCGTCGACATACTAGGTCGGATACAACAGTGGACTTCTTCAGTAGAAAAGAAGCTGGAGGACTGCAAAAAGGCACTAGAGCTGATGCGCAAAGAACTGATGGCACGGCTCTGCGAGATTGAGAACTTGAAGAAGCAGTTGACGGACTGCGAGGCCGCACGCAATACGGAACGTGAGGTAAATGATTCGGTTAAAATAGTTCAGAGCTAATTCTACTTTAATATTCTGAGTGCCATATTATTCTTATGCGGGTGACACACTTTTCATCGGAAATTGGATATCATTATAATTAACAAAATGTGAAATGTCGTTTCTTCGAAGATCCACGAAAATTTTCTATAGGATTGATTGAGCACCCAGAATTGTTAAAAGGAAACAATAATAACTGGAAGTTACTATGAACACTAAAACAATAATAACACTATTAGCTGAAAGTTTGAAATCATTTTGTACGCACACGATATTAGATATATTAGAGTTAAATTAAGAAATTTAACACTTAGGAACAGTGCTTAGGAATTATAATAAAGGTTACTATTGCCACAGAAGCAACAAGTGTCACATCAAACGCAACATCAAATGCAACACCAAACGCAAGTTGAACAACATGTGGAGGAACGAGCAGTTGTTACTGAAACACCCAAAGAACAGGAATCTGTCCTTATTCCAGTTGTTGAGCAAAGAATTAAGGAACCTGTAGATCAGTTTGTCGCTCAATCACCCGCGGCACAAGAACCGAAAGTTATTGAGATCGTTTGCACGGATGCAGCCATTCAATCGACAATGAAAGACAAGGAAAGAATGCGACGGGAAATTGAGGTATGATTCAGAGGATGTTCACTAAAATATTTATCTCTGCGAAGTGTGTATTCGGAAATATAAATTATAAATGATCGTGTCGAGCAGCTCGAAGCAGAAATAACACGACTAAAGAAAGAAAACCAGCGTATTGTGAAGGAACGCGCTGAATACGAAAACGCGATACAACGAGCGTTGTTGAGAGGGGTTTCTTGCTTGAACGTTGAAGCATTGAGGGTGTTGCGTTCACCGCCAATTCCGTGTTGCACCCCTTGTACTCCTTGTCCTACTGATAACACGTTAGTGAAAATTTGTCTATTTATTTAATTATGAACATATCCTCATCGAGATCCCTAAAATAAATAGAAAATATTAAAAATAATTCAATACTAAAATATTAATAATGATACTTTATAATTATTATTATTGTTCGAAATAATTAACAGCTAATTTTTCTAATGATTGTTTTGTGCTAAAAATTTAACATAGCTCTGACGTTATAACGTGAATATCACTGTCGCTTACATTTTATCACAAGATTTTGTAACAACTTTTCTTTCCTTGTTCGTGCCTATTTTTTTATTGCAGTCGGTGGTGCAATCTGCAATGTATTCATTGCGACAAACGATATGTAATGTCTTAACTTTTATTGCTTCGAGATACCAATGAGTCATCGTTTCAGAGTCAACAATTGAAAGCTGAAGCCAAGTATTTTAAGTTCGCATGAATCTTCATATATTGTGCCTGTTTCTGCGACTTTGGTAACTTGGCCTTTCTAAATTTGTACCGGTTCGCTATCATGTCTCATGACTACATACAGCGTGTCCGTTATTCTTGAGGGAGGTAAATTCCTTTTTCCAAATCATTCATTCAAAAAATATAACCAAACCAATTGTCAATGCGTTCCAATACAATCCAACAATCTACAAAACACTCGATCTTCAAATACGTTGCACACATAAATTTACAACAAAAACGAAACTAAAAGCAGCTATCAAAAAACAAATGTTTTTACCCCACCATGGACACAGTGCATGTAGCTCAGCGATCCGCGAGATCAATAGGTCACGTCTGTCAAGGATCTACTTCACGACCGCGCACCGTCGGTGCCTATTCA